GCAGGAGGATCTGGTCATTCTGGCACAGTTCCATGAACCCTGAGATTCTCTTGGCAAACTCCACCACATACTGGATTGCATGTGTGATCTGGATGGCACACTGTTGCCACAACACGTCCTGGGGCTAAAGTCAAACACATCCAGGTTACACTAAAATTATGTCTACAGCAGATTTCAATTGGTGAACTGAGTTGGAGGGATTTTTTAATGACTTCTTGTTATTTCAGAATGTTCAGGTTGATGTGAAGTCTTACCTTACTCTGGTACATCTTGACCTCATCATAGGAGTGCGTTTGCCAGACAAGCTGCTGCAGCTCCTCCGCCGTGAACTGACAAGTCTCCAAGTGAGACTTAATGATGTTCTGAGCGATTCGGTCTGAAAGGGACGACAAAAGAGACAAAGGTCATTAGATCACATCTGCCGTCACTATTTGTTCTGCATAAGAGACCAAACTCTCTAGTTCCCTGCCTATAATGTGATCATAATGCAAAGCATCAGCAGATACAGTATCGGCTGTGAGCTTCATGGGTTTCACATATTTTTGTCTCTTTTTTTTAAGTAGAAACATTCATTAATTTGTTTCATTAGGGTATTACTTATTATCACTTATTTGATTTCTTACTTGATTTCTTTTTGCAGTGTAAGAGTCATGCCCTTTCACTATACAGAGCAACCACGGTTAACAAAGTCCTCGACTTACAGCATTTCGTGGTTATATCGCCTTCCATATATTTATTAAGAAAGTCTCGTTCCACCATTAGTTTGCTCAGGAACTTGTTGGCGAGTGAAGATATGCAGAAGACACCTCTGTTTACATTTCTTTCATTCTTGTTTTTTTTTTGTTTGTTTTGTTTTTGCCCTTCATTATGGCTCCTAGGTGTAAGTCAGACTCTTCTCATGTTCTATGTTCTAGATTATGATGTCATCACTGTGTTAGCGTAAGTGACTGATACAGGTACTGATGTACAGTATGACAGAGAAAATTTAATTTACATTGCATCATAAGAACAGAGCTCTGACGTAAGTGGACAACTCATCTGTACAGGTTTTCACATTATAAGCAAAAGGTAAATACATTTATGATGAACATCAAACAAATTTACCCAGCTCTCCCATGCTAACGCCGCTGCCTCCCAGCTGACTGTCCTGGTAACCTCCGTAGCTAAAGAGGTTTGGAACTGGCGTCAGGTCGTACACTGGCTCTTGTTTAATGTGCTTCATGCCTGACATGTCCAGACCCGATTGGTCCGGAGATGCCTGAGTAGAGTCCATCCCATAGTAACCCCCTGGCACTCCTCCTCCATTGATGTGGCCACCTTTGGGCAGCTCGATGACATGTCCATTGGCGTAGGTACCACCGATCTCATGGTTTAGTGTTGAAAGTCCGTTGGTCAAACTGGAAGAGTAAACTCGAGCCAGAGCTTCGGCATCGCTAGTCTGCTGCTGTCGCTGCTCCTGCAGTCGGGCCTGATGTTTCTGGACCTCAGCGTACAAACTGTCCCGCTGCTTCTTTGACATACGACCAAACTTCACCGCTGTGTGGACAAAGACAACAGAAGATTTAGATTTTAACTCTTATCTCAATTACAAACAGAACAAAGAACGACTATGTGTACATTTCCACTACAAGATCAGAAACTAGTTCCAGAAACTAATATCTTTGTTATTTCTTTCACCACAATAGAAACACAGCTCACATCTGCTGACGTGAAACTCTCAGTTTACTGGAAGTGGTTTCTGTTAACAGAAGATTCTAGTAATGAGTTAAATAAGGGTGCATAAAGAAAATAACTCACGTGGATTGTCAAATATTTTATATGTATTTATTAGGGATGTGATGGTCAAGATCAGTATGGGTCTGATAATGATTTAACCTTCAGGATCAGACATCTAAAATAACTACAGCCACAACTGATCCAAACCTAAGCCTAAATTCTCCACCTCAGCTACAGTAGCCCACGGCACATTAGAGGAAAAGATGGTATTGTTTTGATATTAGTCTCAGCAGATAATCCAATCTGAAGTATCAGTATTGGACATAAAAAAGCTGTATCAACCCTCCCTAGTATTTATGTACTATTTTGGTGACCAAGGTGATAGAGTTGACCAGTGGAACACACACCGTCTCTGGACATTCCTAAAGCCAGACATTTCTGCAGACGACAGTGTTGGCAGCGGTTCCTGTTGGTTCTGTCGATGAGACAGTTTCTCTGCCGAGGACAGGAGTAGGACGCGTTGTTCTGTTGACTCCGTCTGAAGAATCCCTGCTCATGAAAACAAGACTTGGAGTTAGATTTAAAATAAACAAACCCTGCAGTTTGGAGTTGAAGTTTTGCCCTCACCTTACAGCCCTCACACGTGATCACTCCATAGTGAATTCCTGAGGATTTGTCTCCACAGATTTTACAAGGTATTACTTCTATTTGAGCTGTAGGGACAAAAAAGGATGGAAGTTAAAAAAAAAAGCTTCAGTTTTGGACAGACCACAAGGAAAGAAAAGGTTAGGGTTAATCCTGGACAGAGTGCAGCTCTCTGCTTCTACAGAGGCAGAGAGCAGGCTCTGCTGGGCGTCTGATTTAATTGGAGGTTAAAAAAAAAAAGGCATAGTTCAGAAGGTCACGTTGACACCTGAATAATTACACATTGGTAGATCTCAAACACACACATAGTTGTTAGGTTTTTTTAAGGATCGCCCCCTGCAGGTTAACAAGTTTGCAAAAAGCGTTGCATCACTGAAGAGGACACACTCAAAAACACAATCAGAAAAACAGACCAGGAACACATGTGAATCAATTCAGTGTCGTTGTATAACTAACTCCACATGGCAGTTATTGTCAGTTTTATGAAACATTTTCCAACAATCTAACAGCAAACTTATTGTGAATAATTTCAAGTAATTAATTAATTAATATACTTTTTTCTTTATTGAGTCTGTATATACCAAACACACTCAGTTAAATGCTAATGGTGAGAATTACCTCTTCTACATATATTTATATAATAGATAGATAATAGCAATAGATATTTAAGCTCAATAAAAATAATTTATCCATTTTACATTTCACTAAAACAATAAAGTAATGTATATAAATACTAAAATATATATACAAAATATCATATATTTAATATATATGTTAAATCACACTGGAAGAAAAAAATAATAACCAGAAGATAATTATAAAAACAAAGAAACCACCACAGGTTTACTTACTGTGCATAGGCAGTTCCATCTACAGGTTAAACAGCTTTGAATTCTTTATTTTAATTTACATCTAGTGAAACCTCCACATTGTCGTTCTTGATGTGGCTGTGAGAACTTCTCTGTTCTCACAGCCACGTCTGCTGAGACGGCACAGTCCCTATAAGGAGATTACATCAGATTACCTAATCCTAAATTATGAATCCCAGAGCTGCTTCTCTCTTTGCTCAGATGTAAAAGCAAAAACAGTCGTTCGCCTGAATTTGACCAGTCATCAGTTTTTTCTGACTGCTGCAGTCAACACTTAGCAAAGATTAAAAACCTGACTGTTCACTGTTCTCAGATCAGGTGTTAATCTTGTCCTTCGGCTGACTGCTGAGCCTGACCTCTGATCCTGACCCTTGGAGAACTCCCAAATCATCACTCTAAAAAACACAATTTAACCATTGTGATCTCTCCCCGGTTTGGTCACATAAAGATGTGTTGAATCTGTCAATGTCAGAGCTAAGACACACACACCTCACAAGAGAAAAAAAACAAATCCCCAAAAACCACAGCTAACATACACATGTAAATATCATGTTCCGTGTCTTAGCCAATCAGAAGGAAATTCAGCTGAGAGGGATTTTCATCAGGAGTTTTAAATTAAAACTTAGCCCTAAGAGAACCAGAGATCAAACCCATGACCTCTTCAACCCACGAGGCACAGCCTGATGACTCTGATGTTTCTGAGGTCACATGACTCACTGAAGTTCTGACCCATTTATAACAAACACCTGAAAACTTATTATAAACTGGGGGGTCTCTCTCTGTGTGTCTCTCTCTGTCTCTCTCTCTCTATCTATCTCTCTCTCTCTCTGTGTGTGTGTCTCTATAAAAAAAAATTATCTTTCCTCCACCAGAAAAAAAGTATTTTAACAGATGTTGATTTACTGCTGCCTCGTGTGGTCAGGAAACAAAATTCCTGAAGGATTTTAAACAACAACAAATAGTACATTCTATGGTGAACTCTATGGTGAATGAAGTGGTGGATCAAGAGTGTCAAAAGCCTAAACTGCAGATTTTTTTTAAGAGCTTTAATTATTTATTTCTTTTGAACAACATTTTATTAATTGAGTCTCTAAACCATATTACTTATACAACCTATGGTAATGAAGAGGGAGGGGACGGGTTAGTCGTTAGCCTGCAGGCGTCACGCCGAGGTCCTTATGTAAGAGCTGGACTGCAGTGCTGGCGATTCCTCGGCTCAAAGGAGGATCAGATCTAAACAATCTTCTCACTCACTTCAAGACTCTACTCTGAAGTCCAAGTGTGACCTGATGAGACTAAAATGTACAGTATTTTTATATTTTACTGAAGTGAGTTAAAATCTAGGTCTGCTGACTAACACACAGCCCTAGTTTATATATATTTATGTTAAAGGGCCACCAGGTGAGGCTACATGTTTGTCGTGACACAACGCATCGTCTATTTCAACATAACATATTTTAACATGATGTTAACTGATAAGAGAGCGACAAAATAAATTTCAGTTCTCCCATATTGCACACCACACTTGCATATACGTGGCCCAAAGGCTGGTGGTGCGTGAGTATGTGCACGTCCGTCATGAGAATAGGTTTTAATGAAGTTTGAATCTCCTGTGAATTTCCAGAATAGATTTCTAATTATCTGAGACACACAGTAGGAAAAAAGAAAAGCTCAACTACTGAAACAGAAAGAATGTTAACAATGCGAAACAACATTCAAGCCGAGTTACGCAATATGAATTTACAGCAGTGTTTGCAAATGATGTCAGAAAATGGCCAACAGGTGGAGCTGTAAATTTTTAATTCTTAAAACAAACCTGAAAACTGTCCCCCCATTTTTTTACCTTCCTTAGTCAGATTTAAGTGAAAAAAAATCCTTCTTTATCAGAAGTGTGGAAAACTTTATTAAAACCTCACTGAAGTACATTGCTGTATTTGTACAAGTTTTTATTCTTAAACTAAACTGATAACGATATTACTGAAAAACAAAAATATCTTATTTAAATTCTCTATTCTCAATGAACTACTGCATCAGTGTGCAGCGAGTGGAAGATTTATAATGACACACAGCGTCTGTCAAACCCCCCCCCCACCCCTCCACCACCTCTCCCCCCCTCACCCGGTCCTCACCCTTGGACTCATCTCCTCAAACTAACCATCCTCCACATCCCCCTACTGCCAAACATGTCTTTGTTCACTGTGTCAGATACATTTATACACACACACACACACACACACAATATTGTCTGTCTTTTGGTGCAGCTGCATAGGATTGTGGGTAAACGGGATCAGCTGCTCTTTTCTCACACAATGTTTTACTGAGAGAGGATTGGTCGACGGCGACAGAGAACAGAAGGGGCCAATGGTTGTCTTCAAGTTCACTGACCACGTGTGCACACCTGACCACATACAGATGTGCATGAGCCTGTACTACTGTACAATACTATATACACCCAAACACAACATCCAGTCGTATTAAATCTTCACAGTAGGCGTACTACTGTGAGTACAGTAGATAATTACGGAAATATTTCAAACTACAACAAGAAACATTTGTTTCAGTGATAACTGATGGTCAGGTGTAAAATACACACATAAATACATACACATACTGCCACAGAAGAAGATCATCATCTCACTCTGATTCCACCCTTTGTTAAAATAGATGGAATTCCAAAAATATGGAGAAAATCTGGTCATATTCCTCATTGTTAGCGTCACTGAAGTCACCTCTGTTTTTATTCGCACATAAAGATGTTGGTTTAGTTTGACTACATTTATATCACTCACACACACACACACACACGTGCTTTAACCTTACTGAATTACAAGGACAAAAATCACTTTTTATTTAATTTTTGATGATTTTTAAATTATTTTAGTGACATTACGATTTATTAGTTGTTCTTGTTGTTCTCTGGTTTTTTTATAGAAGCTCGTGTTTCTGTGTGTGAGGGGTTCACTGAGCCACACGTGCACACACAGACAAGCACACACACAGAGAGACAGAAAAAAACACACACATACTCTGGTTAAGTGAAGCTCAAACTGATTTAATTCTATCTGACAAAACCCTGTCGGGCGTGAGAGAGACAGAGAGGGTGAGAAAAGAAGGGAGATAAAGAGAGGGAAAGGGAAACACAGAGAAAGAAAGGGGGAGAAAGAGAGAGAGAGGAAGGGGGTTCTGTGATAAAATTTGATATTTTAAAGAGGGAAGTTAAAAAAATTAGTATAAAATTACATTTGTGGGGGTTTTATTGACACAATGATAAACAAGAGTAATTTTCAGGAATATCCTGTTCTGTTGGTCTGGTGATGTCATGGATTTTGTCTAAATAAATTTCATCCATGTTCGGCTCAGTATTTCAATTATCTAAAACACTGATAAAAACATCTGTGTGTGTGTGTTGTACTGCTTATTATGGACATTTAGTTTTTTTCTGTGCAAATATGTGAGAAGGTGGAATAAAACACAGGAAAATGTATTCAACTAAAGACAAATGTAAAACCTAGTTAATTATTACTGTTAATTTTAATAATTAAGAGAACATTAATGTTGTTAGGTTCAGTAAAACACAGATTTTAAAGGAACTGACTCCAGTGCCTCTACCTTTCCATCTAATCCTAGTTTTTGTACTTTTTTGTTGACATTTTTCCCCGATGACACCGTATGACAGATAACGTTCCATCTGTGTTTCTCATTATTCCTGGTCAACCTCACCAGGAAGTTCCAGAAATGCAGCTCCAAACTGGCAAAGAACATGCATCATACTTGACTGGTGCCTGCAGACACTCATCAGCTCATATAGTTTTGTGCATAGTTGAGTCCCTGAGATTCTTTAACCTCAGAGGTTTGGTTGTAGTTTCCAGCTAAACTTCTCCAGAAGCCACTGGGACTAATCATTTCTGAGCCAGTTTCGCTGCTGACCATCTCAGGTGTGAGAGCAGACTATGTGTTCATAACAGACCCCAGTGTTTTCACTATTTAATTCTGTCATGGTTTTATGACTTGTGACATGAAACTGTTTTCAACAAACTCATCATGGTGCCAGAGGATGTCTGCTCCTCACAGCTGTTTTTTTATTTTGACGAAGGGCCTGTTCCAACTAGCTGTGAAAGTGATGATCATTATAAACGGTTGGATGCCACAGGTTACAAATCCATGTCAATATATTCCTACTATAATTCAATAAAGGCAAATCAATGTCCAGGT